CATAGTTTCTGGAGGCAAGCCATTTCGGAAGTGGATGCCGCTCCTGCTTCCAGGCTTGTTTTAGTTGGGAAGCTCCAGCCAACACTGTCCACCATGGGTACCCATTACCACGATTGGCACATCACTGTCACAGTCTTCAGCATCACAGCAACCTTGAGTTACCTCTGTACAGCAACACACAGACCAGTGCTGTACCACCTAGAAGAATGTTTGACAGGAAAACAATTTGAACCTGGCCGAGGGCTGCAGATGAAAATCATCCACCTTTGGCTTGGTAGCGTAACTTGCTTTCCACTAGGCCAACGTAGCTCTCTCTTTGTCGTTGTCGTTGTTATTGTTGCTCAGTGCCATTGAGTCGTAGATGACTCATAGCGACCCTATGAACGAACAGCCTGAGCACTGTTTGTACATTGAGTTTCCAGAGGCAAGCCATTCCCGAGATCCTGGGAGGAACCAACCAGGAAGAACATGGCTGCATCCTCTCCCAGCTGCCTTTGGGCTTAAGGCCGCCTCCTGGCTCAAACCCGAGGCCAAACCTGGCTTGCCTCGCTCCCGGGGACAGAGCAAACCTGGAGGTCAAACACATGCCCAGAAAAGCACTCTACTCCAAAAGCTTGCCACAATTCCTGTGCTCAGACCACTGTGCTCCTTCTGGCAAGGACAACTTCCCAAGACCCTGGGAGGAGCCAACCAGGAACAACCCAAGAGGGGTTAGTCCTTGGAAAAAGACATCATGCTGGGGAAGGCAGAGAGTCACCCAAAGAAAAGAAGATCCTCAATTAGATGGATTAAAACAGTGACTGTAACAATGGATTTGAGGATGTTGGAGATCATGAGGCAGGCACAAGATAAGGCAAGATTTATATCTATTGTTCATATGGTTGCTCTGAGTTGTAGTCAACTCTATGGCGCCTAACAATAATGAAAATGAAATTTACATAATTTAATATAGGTAACTGCTACCACACTAAGTGTTTTGTCCTGGAGAAGGTGAAGCTGGAATGCTCCTTGGAGTCAAGGATTCTGAAGCTTCATCTGACATACTTTTGGGCATGTTGCAAGGAGGGACTGGTCCTTGGAGAGGGACATCATGTTTGGCAGAGTGGAGGGGCAGTAAAGGAGAGGAAGACCTTCGATAAGATGGATCGATTCTGTGACTGGAGTGGTGGGAATGAGTGCCTTTGAGATGGCGAGGTTGGCACAGGATAGAACGGCATTTAGAGCTCTTATACATAGGGTCGCTATGAATCACAAGCAACTTGATGGCACATAACTACAACAACAACAAAACAACTACCACACTAAGTGGTGCAAATCACAAATTTTCTCATCCAAATAACCAACCAACCAAACAAAATTTCAGTTAGAATAAATTGTTTCTTTAAATCCACTTGCAAGCTCTGGGGCTCTCTAAGGGATGAGTCTAGTTGAGGCTTATCCATTCATTTATTTGTTCATTGGTCCAATTATGCACTGAACACATAGACAAGGTGTTGGCTTTTTGGGTACTCACAGTTGATTGCAGAGAAATAAACAATTATACAAATTAGAAGATGATTAAAATAGCTCTAAGATTTATGAAAAAATATCAAACAAATTTACTTGGAAAAAGTGTTCCTTGAAAGGGAGGCCTGGTCCATTGCTAATTGTGTGGTGCTGCTAGTCAACCCAGAATGCTTCTTGGTGGTGAGGATGAGAAGAAAGCATCTCATATACTTTGTGCTTGTTAATGGGGTGGAGTTGGAGGGAGTGAGGATAATATCCAGAGAACGAAATCAAGCTTAATTTAGTAGAGGATCAGTCAAAAAGAAAAAGATCCTCAAAAAGATGGATTGATTCCATCATGTGAATGCACTATAATTTCTCAATCCATTCATTTGTCATTGGACATTTGGGCTGTTTCCATGTTCTTGTGATGGTGAATAATGCTGCTATGAACACTGGTGTACAAATCTTTGTGCCTCAGTTTGCGTTTTCTGGGGGTATATACCAAGCAGTGGAATATCTGGGTCATACTTTGCAGTATGCATGAGCAATGATTTTGTAAATCACTTCCTAACTTGGGAGGGACTAGAGAGTATTATGCTAAGTGAACTAACTCAGTCCCATAAGGAAAAATACTCTATAAGACTATTATTGTAGAATATGTATGAAGATCCAAGGGGAAGAAGGAGGGGAATCGAAGGCTGAAGATGGAAGGAGTTAATAATACGGTCGCACAATTTGATGGATGGAGGGAGGGGTGGGTTAAGGAAATGGGAAAGATCTGAAGTGAAAAACAATATATATGAACTTTGTAAGAAAACTGGTATAAAGGAAAAATTGTATTTTAAAATAAGATAGATGGATACTGTAGCTGCAGGAAAGATTGCTGGATGGTGCATAATCAGTGTTTGTAAATGTCAATGGTACATAACAACAATCACAAGATTTGTAAAGTACACAGAGCTTTGAGATCTGAGTGTTATGGGGAGACCTGGCTTATCTTGGAGATAAATCAGCAAAGACTGCCCTGAAGAAGTGAGATTTAGCTGAAGGGTGAAACATACACTTAAATTTGGCCAGGTAAAGTTGGGGTGTGAGTAGGGAAAAGCCTCAAGGGAATGGGAGGAGGATGTGTGAAGGTTCTGAGGTGGGAAGGATCTCTGCAGGTTTGAAGACTTTCTCAGGAATTTCTTTGCCCAGTGGGTTTTTGTTGTTGTTAGTTGCCTGCCATTGAGTTGAGTATGATTCAGAGCCACACTATAGATATCAGATTATCAGATCTGAGCCATGACCTATCCTGTGCCATCCTCATCATCTCTACCACACTCTGCCCATTGTTACAGTCACTGTATCTATCTATCTCACTGGGGGTCTTCCTCTCCTTCACTGAAGGTCTCTACTTTTCAGAGCATGGTGTCCTCCCATAAGTATGCCCAAATTATGTGAGATGCAACTTCACCACCCTTCATCAAAGAATTACTGTAGTTGCACTCTCTCTGAAACATATTTGTTCGTTGTTTTGTCAGTAAAGTGCTCCTGATCCAGGATATGGTCTTTGCAATTACTTGGTTTGCATCAGAGAGCTGTACAATGACTAAGGATGACAGAAGAATTGATGCCTTTGAGTTGTGGTGCTGGAGAAGAGTCTTAAACATACTATGGACTGCCAAGAAAACAAATAGGTCTGTGCTGGAGAGGGTGAAACCAAGTTTCTCCTTGGAGGTTAGGATTTTGAAGCTTTATCTCACATACTTTGGGCACGTGGCCAGGAGGGATTAGTTCTTAGAGGACATCATGCTTGGAAGGGTGGAGAGACAGCGCAAGAGAGGAAGACCCCAGATGAGATCAATTGATACAGTGACTGGGGCAATGGGAATAAGTGTGTTGGAATCAGTGAAACTGGCTCAGGACAGGGCAGGCTTCAGAGTTGTTGTACATATGTTTGTTATAAGTTGCAGGTGACTCAACAGCACATAACAACAACTGGTAAACTACCTTTTAGAATTTATCACTATTCAGATTTGTCTCTCTGATATCTTCTCATGATTAAGTAGAGGTTATACACTTTTTTCTGCAGAAATACCACCAAAAGGATGTTATGTTATTCTCATTGTGTCATCTCAGAGTTATTTAATGGTGGTAGGTCTTATAATGGTGATATTAACCTTGACCTCTTGGTTAAATTACAGTTTATTGTGTTTCTCCAATGGATTCTTCTTTGTTAGAAAATTATGTTTTAAAATAATTAAAATACTCCTAAAAAGTTCATACAAAAGTGTAAAATAAATCAGATTTCCACCATACCTGCCTTACTGTTCTATAAGTTACTGTCAACACTGTCAATGTATCCTTGTACACTTTCCCCCTCATTTGAATACAATTGTGTAATGGAGTAACATCAAATATTTCCTACAACTTTGATTGTGAAGATGGCATAGAACCAGTAAATGTTTTGGGCTATTGTGTTTCTATAAGTCGGAATGATCTTGATGACTCCTAACAATGCCAACAATAGGTCACATGATTTCTTTTCTTATTTTTTTCTTCTATACCAGTTTACTTACAAAGTTTGTATACATTATTTTTCATACCAAATCTTTCCCCTGTCCTTTACCCACCCCTCCCTCTATTGAGTCATATGATTTATTGACTACTGCTTCTATAGATATTGATTTTGGATCCAAGTGAAATAAAATCCTTGACAACTTTAGTCTTTGTCCATTTATCATGCTGTTGACTGTTGGTCCATTTATGAGGATTTGTCTACTCTTCATGCTGCGGTGTATTAGGAGCTCTGGTGGTCTAGGTGGTCAAGAGTTGCACTTCAATCCAAACACAGGCTCTTTGAATCCACCAGCTGCTCCTTGAGAGAAAAAATGGTCAACCTCTTTATGCTGAGGTGTAATCCATACTGAAGATTGTAGTCTCTGACCTTCATCAGTAAATGTTTCAAGTCCTCTTCACTCTCTCACCTGGGGATGGCTCTTCTACTATACTCTTCAGTATTTTCCAGAATTTTTTAATGAGCATGAGTTATTTTTTTTTGCATGAGTTATTTTTAATCCAGAACACTTAATCTTGAAAAATTATTCCAATAAAGAACTCAAATTTTAAGAAAATGGAATATTTGATAATATAAAATGTTAATGTTTTCATCACTAGAAATGACCTAAAACTTTAAATCATAATAATCTGAGGGATAAATTATTATCTTTCCAAATGGAAGTAAGAGAAAAGAAACTGAGCTATCCCTTATTTCACTGAAGTTCAGATGCTGAGATATAATCACAAATTATAAAAGCATAGCACTATTTTCTGTAGTATGAAGAGATACTATCAATTACCCGGAAAATGTTGCCAATTTTAAGCTATCTGCTGATTTTAGCATTTCTAAAATGTGTAAAATGGGCTTCTTAGGCGTGATGGATGATTGTAGTCCCTCTCTGCCTCTTGTTAACTACAATTTCTCTATGATTTTCCAGGCACAGGATCAGCCACCACTTCCTGCTCAGAGGATGGAATCAAATAACACCCCTCGGGTGGACTCCGAGTTCCGTTACACCCTCTTCCCCATTGTGTACAGCATCATCTTCGTGCTGGGTGTCGTTGCCAATGGCTACGTCCTGTGGGTCTTTGCCCGCCTGTACCCTGCCAAGAAGTTAAACGAGATAAAGATCTTCATGGTGAATCTCACTGTGGCTGACCTGCTCTTCTTGGTCACCCTGCCCCTGTGGATCATCTACTACTATAACAAGGGCAACTGGATTCTCCCCAAATTCCTGTGCAATGTGACCGGCTGCTTCTTCTTTATCAACAACTACTGCTCTGTGGCCTTCCTGGGAGTTATCACTTACAACCGTTTCCAGGCGGTGACACGGCCCATCAAAACTGCGCAGGCCACCACGCGCAAACGCGGTCTCCTTCTGTCCCTCATTATCTGGGTGGCCATTGTGGCCGCCGCGTCCTACTTCCTTGTCATGGACTCGACCAACAACGTGCCCAGCAAGGACGGTTCAGAGAACATCACGCGCTGCTTCGAGCACTATGAGCGGGGCAGCGTGCCAGTCCTCGTCATCCACATCTTCATTGTGTGCAGCTTCTTCCTTGTCTTCCTCATCATCTTCTTTTGCAACCTGTTCATCATCCACACGCTGCTCAACCAGCCTGCGCCGGTCCAGAGAAATGCTGAGGTCAAGCGCCGGGCACTGTGGATGGTCTGTACCGTTTTGGCCGTGTTCATTATCTGCTTTGTGCCCCACCACATAGTGCAACTGCCCTGGGTCCTGGCGGAGTTGGGCTTCCGGAACAGTGCTTTCCACCAGCACATTAACGATGCCCATCAGATCACCCTCTGTCTCCTGAGCACCAACTGTGTCTTAGATCCCATCATCTACTGCTTCCTCACCAAGAAGTTCCGCAAGCACCTCTCCGAGAAGCTGTATAGCATGCGCAGCAGCCGGAAATGCTCCCGGGCCACCACAGATACTGGCATTGAGGTCGTTGTGCCACTCAACCAGAAGACTGTCAATTCCCTTAAGAATTAGTCCCTGACTGTTGTTGGACTGGCCCAAAGCCTTCTTCTCCGTGGGTATGGAGGACTTGACTCGGGATGGGGAAGAAGGGAGATCTTGCTGTGACCTGGCCTGTGGTTTGTGCACTTCCTGGACACTGGTGGCCTGAGAGGTGTAGAGACAGCCTCACCCAGGCAGAGATGACAGCAGAGTAAGAATGAGGACACCCAGGCCACCACAAGGCCAAAGTCTCCGTGAACTTTCACTGGCCAGTGCTTATGCTGTGGTGAGGCCTCTAGAACCGAAAGAGCTAGTTGAGTCTCCTTCTTCTTTTTTTTTTTTAATGACATTTTAACTATTTATTTTGAAGGTCAATTAAAAACAAAGAGACAATCTGAAGAAAAAAAAATATTGCACAGAATACACGCATTAGTATAAGTATTGTGATTAACTCAAAAGAAGGGAAAAAATATGTTCTCTCCTACAACTCCTGAATGAAGTTGTATGGTCCTGAAGGTTTTTATATATTTCCAAAAGGGGGGGGAGGATAATGGCAATTAAGCTGCCTCTTAATCATGTAGGTCTAGAGTAGCAAGCAAGTTTCCTGTTCTTTCCAACAAGTCAGTTTCAGTCTTCAAACTGTGCCTTGTTTTTTTTTTAAAGGATATGGTGCTAGAAATTCAGTGGGGTTTGGTGATCTCTCCTTTGCCAGTGCAGCGAGTCCCTGTAATAAAACAGGCATAGCTGTGTGATCCAGGTAGGCGCAGACTGGCGGTGACTGGGGATCCACCATCTGTTTTGAGGACTTTTCTGCATTAATTTTCGACTATCCTCCAGACGTAGTGAGACCATAGTCAATGAGGATTTTCTGCAACCTGGGTTTGTCCTTCCATCATCTGCTCTGGATCCGTGGCAGAGCCTGAAAGCCACCTCCTAACCTCATCTCCAGGAGGCAAGAAGAGCAGTTCAGGTCCCAAGGGGCTAGTCAGGCACTTTGAATCTGAGATAAAGAGAGGTGTCAGCTTCTCCTCCAGTAAATGGATACAAATAAGCCTCATGTACCCAGCAAGGTGAACCAGGCAACCTCAGACCTTAGAGTAGCCCATGATCTTTCTGAGAAATCTTGTTACATTTCAACCATTGTCCCAAGTAGTTGCGACTCTTATCTCCTATGTATGGGGCAAGCACTGGATTCTTGTTTTTAATGACGGCCTCCCAATGATCAGTGCATGTGGGATGGTAGCTGTGAGTTGAGACTAACTAATGGCAACCAAATAGACAGTTTATTAAAGTCAAGTCTTGTCCCAGGTTCAAGTGTTAACTTTCTCACTTCCTTTTGTGGGACTGTGAGCTTACTGTCCTACCTCTTAGGTTGTTATGTATGAGGTGAAAGCTACCTCTCAGAGTTATTATGAGCAGTGATGCTTATCCCAGACACTCCCTTTTCCTGAGGATTGACTCCCTCCCTGCAATCAGTCACTCAATTCTACCACAGAGGGTGGATGGATAAGAGGCAGGCATCCGACCAGAGTTGGGCCAATTAGATCATCTGTTATGGGAAGAGGCAGCAAGAACCTAGAACCTATGACCCTGAAGAACCTAGAAGCACTGTTCTAGGTTCCCAGGGTCACTTACCTGAATACTTAGAAATTCTACAACTTTGAATGCCTATGTATATATATGCTTGCCTATCTGTATGATGAGGTGAGAGTGGCAACCTGCATGAACATAGTAAAAAAAGTGGCTCTGTTTAGAGAGAAGATGAAAATTTGAGGTGTAGAGAGAAGTGAGACCACAGGAGCCTGGAGAAGAGGCTGTGCTGCTGGGGCCTGCAGCTCCTTCTCCTCAGGCCCAGCCCTTCTTGAGTTTCATTTGCCATTTACATACCCTGCTTCAGGTCTTCTAAGAGTCTCTCATCTGGATGCGTCCTCTTAGTTTGCCTAAGTTTGCTTGAATGATTCTCTTTACTAGCAACCCAGAGTTCTCTGAATGAGGCAAGCACCCATATGCTACAACACAGTGTTTCTGAAATTTCAAGTACTCATGTACAGTCACTCGCCTTACAAACGTTGCCATATCAATGTGCTACCTACTTGTTTACTTAATAAATAATTTAAATTGACTCATGTTTGTAAGCCTATGTTTATTTAAACAGGAAACTTTATGACATGCTTGTTCATGAAAACTAGTGTCACCTGCCTCAAACAGAAGGTGATTGAAAACTGTTGAGTCAGAACCAGAAGAACGTATTTAAAAAAAAAATGTTTCTCTGGATGGCACTGTAAAAGCACCCTAAGTACCCCAGCGACTCACACAGCCTCTTCCAGAGGCACTGCTGGGACGTGCATACCCTGCATAGTGTCTGCAGTCAGTGAAGGCATAAAGGCAGCTCTGACAGTTCCAAAACGGTGACTTAAAAGCATTCTTTTGTCTCTCTCAGAACACTGTCTCAATACACAGGCAAGTATCTCTCTCATACTAAGTGCTCAGGAGGGTGGAGGAATATATTAGTTTGCATGCCATGCTACAGTCCTTTTGAACTTAATCATCTTGAGTATACTGAATGGCTAAGCTCTGGGCTACTAATATGAAGATTGATGGGACATACCAGAGGCACAGCAGGAGAAAAGCCTGGTAATCTCCTTCTGAAAAGCCACAATCATAAAAACCCCTGTGGAGCACAGTTCTGTTTTGAATAAAACCCACAGAGTTGCCATAAGACACAATTAACTCAGTGGGAACCATTTCCCCTCCTTTTACTCTCCTTGTAACTTCTGCTGTGTTGTGATCTTCTCAGAGCCTTCTCTTTCTCTTTAAAATCTAACCTAGATCATCTCCTATGCACAGCCTTCCTGGATTACACCCTGCAAAGTGAAAGTGTTTTAGAGCTGGGAAGATTCAACTTTTTTAACCCTGAATTACTATGGATATTGCATTTTATTAGTTTCATTGCCTGCATTCCCTAACCCTAGGGAGCCAGAATTGTATCTTAGTCATCTGTGCATTCACAATTTCTCTTAGACAGCCTGGAATTGAGATACATTCGATTCCAAGTTTATTCCTTCCCCAAGCTATTCTATGGAACCTATTACATTATTTTTAATTGCATCAAGTATAATGCATTTTAGAAGAGCTCAAGGAGACACTTTAAGGGGCAGATGGAGAAGGGATTTCATAATATTCCTCCGAAGTTTTGTTTTGCATATTTTAAAGAGAGATATTGGAGGAATTTAGAAGGTTTAAATAGAGCAGGAACAATTTCACTCCTTGTTCATCTTAGCACGGGGAACATGGAGCTCAGAGAAGCTAAGTGATCAAAGACGACAATTAGTATCAGTGGTGCGACTCCAGTGGAAGCAAGGCGAGCTGTGCCCTGAGTATCTCCCTATTTGCAATGGTGACAAGGATTCAGGGAAAACCTGGGTCTTTCAATGAAGCATCATTGATCAAGGCTTCTGAGCCCTCTGGCATCTGCACTTCAGGAAGGCCTCACCTTACATTTCTCCTCTGAAAACTCAGATGATAACCTCGAGGAACTACCAGTGATCTCAACTATGGCATGGTGATTTATGCAGAAAGTCTAGGCCCTTTGCCAGGCTGAGATGAGTTATGGATACAAGAGAGTTTAAGTATAGGTCATGGCTGAGAAGAACCTAGTCATGTATGTTTTTACTCATCTGTGTTATATCTGTGCTTGAGATCGAAGGCCATTGACAGATGTAATAAAATCCTTCTAGAAAGCATTGGTTTAGTATTTCTATAGAGTAAATTCTATTTCTCTTGACATCCTTCCAACGAGCCATTTACTCACTCATTCACTTACCCATCCATCTATGCAATTGGTGGCCTAATGGCAAGATGTTGTGCTGCAATCACAAAGATGCGTGGTTCAAATCAACCAGATGCTCCATGGGAGAAGAATGGACAATCTCCTCCTGTGTGACTAACTGCTTCCGAAAACCAGCCAGAGTGTCAGCTATGGGTCAGTTCTGACTCAATGGTACTCAACAATGACGACAACAACAACTCATCCATCCAAGTATCCAACAAACATCTGAGTGCTTATTCTGGTCCAGTAACTAAAGCAAGCACTTTTTCTGTTACCTCACTGATGCCTCAAACTCTCCCAGAATAGGTGGTATTATCCTTACTATTGTAGTCAACTTGAAAGCACCTAACAACAGTAACACTCAGAACTTGACAGATCTGCTTATTCACACCATAGAGAGTGTGATTTCCAACACATAATAAGAAGTTGTGCTGCCAACCTAAGGGTTGTTTTCGTTATTATGTGCCATAGAAGATTTGAATCCTGCCTTTTCCTGTGCCATGCTCACCATCTCCAACGCATGTGACCCCATTGCCACAGTCACTGTGTCAATTCATCTCATTAAGTGTCATCTTTTTTGCACTGACCCTCTACCCTTACAAATATGCCCTTTTCCACAGACTGGCTTTCTTGACAATGTGTCCAAAGTAGGTGAGATGGAGTTTCACCATCCTTGCCTCCAAGGAACACTTTGGTTTCACTTTTCTCAAGGACATATCTATTTGTTCTCTTGGCTGTCCATGTGATATTTAGTACTTTTCTCCAGTACTACAACTCAAAGGTGTTGATTCTTCTTTTGTCATCCTTAGTCATTCATTGTTCAGCTTTCAGGTGCATAGCAAGCAATTGAGAAGACCACACCTTAGTCTTTAGACTGATATCATTGTTATTGTTTGTTGTATTGATATCATTACTCTTTTTAAAAATTAATTTTAATGAACATTGACAAACAGATTTTTCCAATCCAACTTCTCTTCTGATTTCCTGACTGCTGGTATCAGTGGTGTTGATTATGGATCCAGGTAAGACGAAATCATTAACAACTTCAACCTTTTCTCCAACTATCATGATGCTGTCTATTGACCCAGTGGGAGGATCTTTGTTTTCTTGATGTGGAGGTGTGATCCATATCAAGATCCCTTGATCCTCTACAGTAAGTACTTCAAGTCTCGTTCACTTTGGGTGAGCAAGGTTGTGTCATCTG